ACTGAACACATGCTGAATACACACTGAACACATGCTGAATACACACTGAACACATATTGGACACACAATGAACACATGCTGAATAAACACTGAATACATACCGGACACACACTGAACACATGCTGAATGCACACTGAACACATGCTGAATACACACTGAACTCATGCTGAATACACACTGAACACATGCTGAATACACACTGAACACATGCTGAATACACACTGAACACATGCTGAATACACACTGAACACATGTTAAGCCCACACTCTGGATTCAGCTGAGATAACTCACCGGCTGCAGGTCGTTCATGCTGCTCGGCAGCTCTCTCAGTGTCAGAAGCAGGTCAAGTTGCAGGCTCAGGTAGGGGATGTTGCACATCTGCAACAAAAACATAAAACAGAACATAAAAAATAAAGTAACACTTATTTATAAAGAACTTTCTATAATCTGTCAGTTACATGATCGCCCATCTTTAATTGCAGTGTGTTATGGACTGSGTTAAAGAATTCTTTTAAATCTGATGTCTAGAAAAAAACTGGGGCCCTGATCAGGAAATACAAAGTGTCTTTTTTTTCTTTTTTTCTTTTTTTTTTAGATGTGGATCAAGTAACCACCTGAGACATGTAGGAGTGAAGGCCATTAAATGTTCACTAATAAGCAAAAGGTTAATTTTATCATTGAATGTGCCAGTGTATTCCAAACTGTTCCTGCCAGCCTCCTCTTTTAGATAACATCTTAAAAAATTACTCTATGCAAATAGGGTTTAAAAACATCAACAACTTCCTGAAAAGACAAAAAAGTTTTGTTGAGCAAAAAATATCTCTTTAATCTTTTGTGTTTATGTGTCAAAAATCTGTCCATTATGCCTGCAGTGTGCAAGCATTCATTTGTTTTATATCGTGACACCCCATCCCCCTCCCCCGAGTTCAAGTAAAGTATTCACACTGCCCACCCAGTTTGAGAACTCCTGATATAAGCAGACATGAGGAGCTTGCACTGAATCCTAAGTCAGTGTAGAGGTCTTGGTGTGAAATATCCAGCTGAGTTTTGGACTGAATGAGTTTTATCTTTAAAAGGAATGAAAGAAACTGCAATAATCTAAGTGTAACAAAAGCCCGAGTCACAGGCTGTAATTGTTGATGGGATAGCACAAGTTGGTTTTTATTTCTAAAGTGAAAAAAAATACACTAAACAAGAGATTTTAAACACGTTCAAATTTGAGATGGTGGTAATAATACAGATAATGTTTGAGTTTTTATAGAGAAATTTGAAAATAGTGTCAGGAGCTTGAGTTTGAGTAAAGTAATCACAATTTATTTAYGAAGATAGTTTTTAATCTAAGGAAAGGTAACTTGTCAAAACAGCTACATACTGTATAATTTCTGTAATAAGCTGATGAGTTGAATAATTTATATATACATAAAAAAAGAAATCAGGGCTTAGAACAGACCCCTGAGGCACCCCACAAATCAGTAGTACCTGAGAAAAAGCATCATCAGTTGTAACAAAAAGTAAACCAGTTGTTATTTGAAAAACGCAACTCAGACCATCTGTTACCATTTGATTATTCAGAACGAGCTGCGACTGCAGGTCTGTTTTGACAGAAAAACAGAAGGTTTGACTCAGAAACAATTGGCTGAGCTGCCGAGTCGACCTTTGTGTCTGAGCACACGTCTCATAAATCACTCCACATCATCAGACAGTCTCGCTCTGAAGCAAAGGGCAGCTGGTCTGACAGATCCACAACGTCAGGAAACATATTAGGAAGTGGACCGTGTGACCATCGGCCTGAGTCTTCCACATCCTGAAATATATTGCAATATACACTCACCGGCCACTTTATTAGGTACACCTGTCCAACTGCTCGTTAACACTTAATTTCTAATCAGCCAATCACATGGCGGCAACTC